TAAAGAGAAACTTCCGTTAGATAATAAAAATGTGAACAATAAAAATGATGTTTCTTATATTAAAAGTGATTCACCTGAGGTCAAAAAAGTAGAAACTAGTAAACTAAATGAATACAGAGAGAGGAAAAAAGAAGAAGGAGCAAAAAAGTTAGCAGAAGAAAAAGGAAAAAATGAAGAAACTGAAAGTAAACAAAAACCATCGTCAGATAACAAAAACGTTATCGATAAAAACGACGTCCTTTTATCAAAAAATAACTTGCTTGAATTGAAAAAGGGAGAAACTAATAAACTTGGTGAAATTAAAGATGCAAAAACAAAAGATTCAGTAATTGAAAGAAAACAAATTACCAATAATAACGATGTTTCTTTTACAAAAAGTAAAATCCCTGAAATGAAAAAAGAAGAAACTGATAAACTTAGTGAATATAGAGAAAAAAGAAAAAAAGAAGAAGAAGCTAAAAAAATCATTGAAGATAAAAAAAAAAGTGAAGAAACTGATAAAAAACAAAAACTATTGTCAGATAACAAAAACCTTACCGATAAAAATGATGCGTCTCTTACAAAAAGTAGGCCATTTGAAGTAAAAAATGATGAAGCTAATAAACTTAGTGAATATAGAGAAGCAAGAAAGAAAGAAGAAGATAAAAAACTAGCAGACGGAAAAAAAAAATTAGAAGCTGACAAAAAGCAAAAACTGCTCCCAGATAATAAAACCTCTGTTACCACATCAAAAGATGTTTCCGGGGAAGCCAATGTCATTAACACAAAAGATGTCTCTGGGGGTAAAAATAACTTTGTCACTCCCGGAACAAAGGTAATTGCTGATGTTTCCAATAAAGATAGTAAATCTTTTGTTACACCTACAAACGATAACATGATGGCTTTAAATTCAAATATTAACACAGTTTCTTCTAATGTAAAGAGTGAATCTCCTGAAGTAAAAAAAAGAGGTTATGATAGACTTAACGAATATAGAGAAAGAAGAAAAAAAGAAGAAGAAGTTAAAAAACAATCGGAAAGCAAAAATAAGGTTGAAGAGGCTGAAAGAATTACTACAGAACCTAAAGAAGTAAGAAAAAAAGAAGATCAGTCTAAGACAATAAAACCAAAGGAAGACGAGTCTAAAAGAGTCTCAGCAGAAAATGTTTTGTTAAATGCTGAGTCGGGTGCAAAAAAAGTTGATTCAAAATGTCAAGTACTTCCAAAAGATGAAAAGAAAGTTATCGTGGAAGACGATATTAATGTGGAAACAAGAAATGTTTGCAACGCATCACCTGGTATGGCTTCAACAAATAATTTTACAAACAATGTTGTTACAGATATTTTTTCTGGTCGCACAGATGATAACAATGAACCAAGGTTAAGTCTAAAAGAAAGAATGGCAAGAAGAGGAAAATAGTAAAAAATAGTTTGATTTGAGTATTTCAATTTTGGATTTAAACTTTGTGTTTTGACTGGAGACTTGTATAGCATTGAGTTTTGCCTACATATGAGTCAGCTAGATAACCAGTTCTAACAAGTCGGGTAATTTCTCTCGCCCATTTATAAAGTCGTCCATTCAAAAACTCGCCCATTCAAACAATTGTATAAAGTTAATTTTATTTCACGCGGTTTTCATAATTTGTAAATATTTTTAAAAGAAAAAATTTCCCCATTTTTTTACTAAAAATAGTTTATTGTTTGCTTTCTTTGTTTGCTTTACTTAATTCCAATGTAAGTTAAAAGTCAAGGCTATTTTTTTATAAGATTTTGAAATTCTTTTCAAAAGGTTTCATTGATTTACTGATTAAATAGAGCATTTTCAAGCGTTATTTGTAATTGAAAAAAAAAGAAGAAAATAATTCGATAAGTCTGCCTGGATTGTACATATATATACAAACATATTTAGTTAGTATAAAAAGTATAAGTAATTAAATAAAATATAAAAACGTAGTAAAATTTAAGAAGTGAGTAGTTTTTAATCGATTTTTTGACTATTTTATTTTTTTCTGGCGTTTGCGTAGAAATGGCTTGTTTGTGCGATTTGCTACAATATATTTTCTACAGAGATTTCATTTTAATAGCGTTTACAACGTTTTTGGTTACCCACAAATTATACTTACCTCAGTAAAACAGTGTGCCTATACTTTGACTTAGCAGCGAAGAAGATCGGCTTGTTTTATGTCGATTGATTAATCTGGCTTATTAACCAGGATTAAGTCTAGTGTATTTTTTGATTCCTTCTATAGGTTGGAAATGTTATAAGTAGAATAAATTTTATTTAGAGAGTCTTGTAATGTGCAATCTGTTGGCAAGTCGTTTGTACATATACAACAGTCACGATACCATAGGCCGGCGCAAGTAGGTGTCACGTGGGGGGGGGGGGGGGGGGGTTTGCCAACTTTTGCCAACTTAAAAAAAAAAAGTCCTCGTTTTTTAAAATTTGATGACTACCATAACAACATTTGGGGGGGGGGGGGGGTTTTGCTAACTTTTGCCAACTTAAAAAAAAAAAGTCCTCGTTTTTTAAAATTTGATGACTACCATAACAACATTTGCCGGCTGACTGTCCAAGTTTACCGATTAAATTGTGGAAAGGGTCTACTAACTTGTCAAAAAGAGTCAAATTTGCCGACTAAATGAACAAAAAAATCATTGATAGGGGGGGGGGAGTGTCACACCCCTATCGCGCCGGTCTTGACAATACCAACTCAAACGCCGACGTTTAAGTACATAATGTTGCTGAGGTTAATATTTCCACACGCAAGCGTTTAAATAAATTGCATTTCTCAAAGGCTGTGTTAAGTTTTTTTTTATCATTGTTGAGTTTTTTAAATTGTGAGGGCAACAGATACAACCCAAGAGAATCAATTCATCGTAAAATTTTAATTTGATGCTGACGTGCTTGTTGGTAGTGCTATTTAGTAGGTCAATTTTAGTTTTTTTTAAGTAGTCGGCCATTGGTTCTGTTTTTGTTGAATAGTTAATAGCCTTTTGTTTTTTTTGTTGGATGTGTCAATGAACTATGTTTTGGTAATTAATATTATGTGTGGTTAAAGTAAGATGTCTGTTGAGGCAATTTTAGCTCTTAGTTTGTCAATTTTGTATGCCATTAAGTGTGCAAGGATTATTTACCCAGTAGATAAATTTTTTTGGTTTTGTTGTTTGTGGTATTGGTTGTTGCATCTTTGATTTTTGGCAAGCCCAATAATATTGTCTAGTGTGGCTGTTATTTAAAGAGATTGTGATTTTTTCAGTTGTTGTCTTGAGTATATGATTGTATTGGTTGCCAAGAGATGGTTAACAGATAAGTAAATGGTAGGTTGTGATATGGTTGGTTGGAGATGTAGATTGACTTGTGACTAAAGCTGCTGTTTCGAACATGTTCGAATTTAAACATTCAAACTTTACTCGAAAATTTCAACTTTCAGGTTCAAACTTTTTTCTCTTAATAAATTGAACTTAAGTTTTGAAAAGTTTTCAAGTTCAAACTTATTTTTTAAAAAATGAAATGCCTTTTTCGTTCATTTTTGTAAATGCAGTTGAAATATAACTAAAAAATATTATTTTGAATATTGTGGTACAATTTAATACCAAAAATTATTATTTTGAATATTATGGTACTTGTTCTTTCTTTTTTGCATTTTTTTTTTTGTTTTTCCATCTGGTAGCTCTAAAAGTATAGACAAAATTGCATCACCTGTAACGTCATTACATTTTTGTTAGGGTCAGTACTTTCCTACTAAAAAGTATTTAAAGAGTGGCCGTTACTTTTTCACAACTTAACCACTGTTTTTTTACATTTGGAAAAAATTAAAATTAAAATTATAAGGGGTTTAAAGTTCAAACAAAAGCACTTTAGCGCTTGCTCTGAGATTTAGAAATATTTCAATTTTTCCTAAAAACTCCATTGAACAAAACGTACCGTACAAACTATTACAAGACACCTAAAAAAGAAACACAAAGTTGACGTTCTAAAATTTAAAACCATAAATAAATTAATAAAAAGATAATAAAGTAATAATTTAGTACATGAAAATGATTTGTTAGTTAACACAGTAGTTTTAAATAAAGATAATCAGTTTGAGAATAAAACAACAAGAAATAATATAAATAGTTTTGCAACTAATCTCATTCAAAAGTTATTCCAGCTTTATTTTCATTAAAGAATTTTTGTTAAAGAATTGAAAATGTTTTATTAAAACATCAGATTTACAAATGTAATTGACAATGGTGAAATTTGTGTATAATCTCTTAAAAGGGCTCTCAAACCTAGGATTGTTTTCAGACACACAAAGAAACTGGCTACAAGATGTTAGACGCATTTTATTTTGAAAAAATAAAATGCATCTAGGGTATCATACTTTAAATACCTTAGGTGCGTTTTATTATTTCAAAATAAAATACAGTAAAAAAAAGTCTCTATAAATAAATGAACAGTCTTGTACTAAACTTGTAAACTTGTTTACAAGTTTAGTTTATAAGTTTTGTTTACAAGTTTAGTACTTGTTAACAAGTTAACAAGTACTAAACTTGTAAATAAAACTTAAGTTTTGCTTTTAAGTTTAAAATATTGCGCCTTATTTATTGGTATTTATGATGGAATTCATGTTTGCTAATGCGGTCTTCTCGGTGTCTATTTGACATTCAGCCGCTATGACTCTTTTAGTTATTGCGTCTAGTTGTTTTGTCACACTGAATTGGAGGGCCACCAGTTTACTCTTGGTCCGGTGCAACCAAGCAATACTTAATGTTCTGAATACAATATTTGAATTCAATAAGTACAACGCATCGTCCAAAGAAATTAGCTAAAAAAAAATTAGATTAATCATAATTGTTCTTGTGTTTACACATTTTAGAAAAAGTATTTTCAAAAACCAACACATTATCTGAATCTTTTCAATTAAAAGGTCTAAAAATATTGCGTGCCTAACAGTCTATTGCTGGCAGCAATAGACTGTTGTACACACTAAACTATCATACCTTATAATTGAATAACGTAAAAGTATCAGAGTTTTTAGGGTGTCAGCAATTTGCTGCTTTCCTAATAGACCTTAAAGGTTCGAGATATGAAACTGAGTGGAATGAGTTGTCTAAGAAATTTTACTTGAAAGTAAAAAAGTAATTTTGGTTATAATTATGTAAAAAATTTACATTGAAATGTAATTTACTTTTTATATGTAAAAAAAGTTATTTATAAAGTAAACTTATGTAAATATAATATTTAGAAAACATAACACTTACTTTACAAAGTAAAATAAAACTACATTATAACAAAAAATTAGTTTTATGTGTAAAAGTAACTAATTACCGAAAGCAACCTGTATAAAAGGTATTTGAAAAAAAATTGATATTTACAATTACGAATAAAAGTAAATTTTTTCTTCGAAATTTTATACTTTACTTTTTAAGTAAGTAAAATGTAAGTTATATTATTTACTTTTCTCAAAGTACAGTTATTTTATGTTGATTTAAGATAAATTTTAAGATAGGTAGCGTATTTAAATCAACTGCCTAATTGAGAATACTTCTGGATAATATTAGGTAAGTAATACTCTGATGTATGCAGTGATTGTGGTGGGGCATCGGAAAGAAATTTTTTTCACGTATATAATAAAAGGTTGTTCAATTAAAATTAGGGGTAAATATAGTCAACATGCAGGTATACCAGTAATATAGAGTCGGGCTCCCTGCCGCATGAGTGGCTGTTAAATAATTATTGAACTTTTACTTCTTTTTTTTTTTTTTTGAACAGAAATAGGTTAGTTGACATTTGAAACTTTGTGGCTTATAAATAGATACCGCAAGTTTTGTGGCTTGCAATAGGTACAGCAAGTTTAGTGGCTTGCAAACAAGTACTGCAAGTTTCGTGGCCTGTAATATTCGCTAGTGATGTGGAATAAAATAGTAAAAACATTTGTATATAAATATTTTTTATAAAAAAAACTCTTATGAAAAAAAAACGTATTTTTGTGAGGTTTAGGTGGTGGATTAGCACCCCAACCGCATCACTGGATGCACCCTTTCCTAGAAACTAGTTTGAAATTATAGCCTTTTTTTACATCTATCTTTTGATATCAAGTTATTTTAGATATTTTTTGTATTTAAGATTATTTTATGTTAGATATTTTAATAAGAACTGCCAGTTATAACAATTTATGTGAAAACAAATTTTTTTAGGCCACAGTTTTATCAAAAAATCCATATATCAAAAAATTGCTACAAAATACGCCATAACTTTTTATAGATTTGTTCGATTTTCACTTTTAAAATACTGTGTTTGAAGGCTCTCTAATGATTTATAACACTCTAGTATTTTATCAATTTTAAATTTACAGAGACTTGGTGCTCTGACGAAACAGCAGAAACAAACTCTGACCTCCAAATTCCAAATTATAAAATATTCTCTAAAGAAAGATCAGCAAGAGAGGAAGAGGGATTATCTAAATATTATGACAAAAAATGATCTTCAATTCTACAGACCACCTGATGGTGATACTTGTAAATTTTCGAATTATATGAAACATTTAATTACAAAAAATAAAGAAAAGAAAAAGTTATTCATTATTGGAGATATAAACATAAACATTTTAATGTACAACAAGCATGCGAATGCTAAAAATTTCTTTGACGACATGTTTCAACTTAATATTTTCCCCATTATCAACAGACCCACCAGGGTAACTTTCA